GTCTGACGAGTGGTTTTTGTGTTCTTAAACCTGGATATCTTCTGTGTACTACTGCTCAAGGGTTCCAGTGCAAATTTTGAACAAACTGAAGAAGATGACAAAGTCTGGGATCGTGTCTTTCACTCAGACAGAAGACATGTTTTATCGTCGTTGGTAGAGACAGCACGAACACGAACAAAATATGTTACAGACTTCAAGTGATAATATACAGCAGGAGAAAGAACACCGTCCAATCAGCTTTCGCCACGATGCCAGTAGCTTGGGCCTTCAGAAATCAAAACAGGCAGTGGAAAAGTACTGTCTTATGCATATTGTTAGAATGATGAGTTAGAACTTTAACCACAGTTGCTTCAAAGTGTCATGAAATCTCTTAAAAACTATGGATCTCTTTATAAGCAACTGTGGTTAAAGCTGGACTCATCGTTTTTCCAGAAAGCACATTTCCACTTGATCTTTTGGTTATCTGAAGGCCGAAGCTGCTGCTGATTGGATTAATATCACATGCACACAGCAAATCTTTGTTCATGTCGTCTTCATAACATCAATAAAATGCTCTCAGTGTGGAAATGATAATGAGTTTTCTGATGAGATGAAGAGATTATGGTGTGGTCTGATTTGATCACAAAGTGTTCCTTAAACAAGACTCTTTGCATTTATGGAAGAATAGGGAGGTACTCCAGATTTAAGGCACATTTCACCAAAAGCCGCTGGAAGGAGCACTGTTGAGTCAGGACCCCATGCAGGGATGAGGGTATGGGGTAGAAGAGACACTTTTCTAAGATGACTTGGCAAAAGAAGAAACGGCAGCGGTGTTGTCTCCAGCGAGAGCCGTGAGAGCCCGGAGTACAGCCCACAGTGAAGAGTGTGTGAGGAGAAAAACAAATCCATTATGTTCAAGGCCAATCCTTCAACTATAGGTTCAGACAATATACTTCTTATGAAATGTGTTATTTTTCTCAGTGCTTCTTACTCGCTCCAAACAATTGTAGCCCAATGAAACATGAAAGGGCCCAAAGGCTTGTCCAATCAACGGACCGTTTTGATGAACGCACATGTGTTTTACTAGTCTGGTTTTACCATGTGTAAACTCTGGTCCATGGTCATTTCCTACATGTACGTCTGGTCTTACCATGTGTAAACTCTGGTCCATGGTCATTTCCTACATGCACGTCTGGTCTTACCATGTGTAAATTCTGGTCCATGATCATCTCCTACATGTACGTCTGGTCTTACCATGTGTAAACTCTGGTCCATGATCATTTCCTACATGTACGTCTGGGTCTGATCCTAGTGGCTGCAGTTTCTTCGGTTGAATCCCCTCCGACCAATCAGAGAGCGGGGGAGGCGGGTGTTTTAGGTCGGTGTCAGTGACGTCAGAGTTTGTCGGAGACTGCGATAGTAAAATAATCTGTTCTGGTTCAATCCAAATATTAAGAAACTGAAGCCGGAGCAAGAGGAATGTTTAGTAAAAGTCATTGAAGCAAAGATGTTGTGGCTCTACTCCCCACGGGCTCCGTTAGTGGCAAAGGAGATGGCTAAAGCTAGGCTACATGCTAAAGCTAGCGTCACACTCATTACATACGTCACGGTAAACTCAGATCAAATCGTTTCAATCTGCAAAAGGAGTTAACCCCTCCCAACTTTTTACAAATCCAGACCTTAGTACCAAATGAAATGAGTACAATGGTGTGGTAAGACCAGGCTAATGTTGGGCAGAGCACCCATACATACAGTATATGTATATATATATATATATATATATATATATATATATATATATATATATATATATATATATATATATATATATATATATATATATATATACGATAGTTAGTATAGGACGCTATAAGAAAACACAGACCTCCGTTAAACATTAATGAAAATGAAAATTGGAAATAATTATTCATGAATAGTCTGTTATATTCTGGGCTTAAACTGTTATGTTGCTGAATAACAAACAGATCATACATGTCTTCTGGGGGGTGGTTCTCAAAATCACTGAAGATTAGCCCCATTTTATGCATCGCTTTTGATTGTAGTAACCACAAAGTGTAATGTTCATAGAAACTTTATTCCCAGAAAAAATACTAAAGTTTTCTAGTGACTGTAACTGTAGTCTGCAGCGTAAAGAGCCCACTGCTTTATGTTGCTTTCATGAAGAAGACTCCCACTCACGGTCAGAAGGTCAGAGGAGCACTTGACCCAAAGGCCTTCATGAACCGGAGATGTCTGCTCTCAACGATATCAAATCAAGTCTATTGTGTGGACGGAGACTGACGCACACCAGAACCTTTTCCTTTTTACAATCTTCACTTTCGATTATGAGAACGCCAACAACATTTCAGTTCTGTCAAAGCAAATATTGTCAGGTTTATTGCAGTCTGAATACACATGAAAGCATTTACCTTGAATTCATGGTATAGTAAATAGAGAGATTTCACATAAACGCATTTTTGACATTGTCACATCTCACAATCATAAATGTCATAGATGTTTTCCTTGGATGTTTACACTCACAAAGTCCCTGTGGTCTCTGTGGGGCTGTGGTTAAAGGAGAATAAGCCATATATCAATAGTTCTAAATGTATTGTGATGAGTATCTGTGTTGTATATGATGGCTAGAGCAGATAAGAGCGGTTTTTGTCTACTCAATGGAGCTTTTCCATAGCTCATAATCACAAATCTACACTGTTAAAGCAAATAGAAACACAAATATAAGAGGGATTGCTCCAGATTACAGATTCTGCATTGGCAAAAAAAAAAATAACTCGCAAAGAATCAAAGTGAGAGATCAACTCCCATGAACGGACAAGGGACTGTAGATCCAGGACTGAGGCTGTAGATCCAGGACTGAGGCTGTAGATCCAAGACTGAGGCTTTAGATCCAGGACTGAGGCTGTAAATCCAGGATTGAGGCTGTAGACCCAGGACTGAGGGAGGCTGTAGATCCAGGACTGAGGCTGTAGATCCAAGACTGAGGCTTTAGAACCAGGACTGAGGCTGTAGATCCAGAACTGAGGCTGTAGACCCAGGACTGAGGCTGTAGATCCAGGACTGAGGCTGTAGACCCAGGACTGAGGCTGTAGACCCAGGACTGAGGCTGTAGACCCAGGACTGAGGCTGTAGACCCAGGATGGACGCTGTAGATCCAGGACTGAGGCTATAGATCCAGGACTGAGGCTATAGATCCAGGACTGAGGCTGTAGATCCAGGACTGAGGCTGTAGATCCAGGACTGAGGCTGTAGATCCAGGACTGAGGCTGTAGATCCAGGACTGAGGCTATACGTTCTTTTGAGCCACATTTTCTTAACCCCAAGTCACGCAGGCAGGAGACACAGGCAGAAAGTGTGCAATTTAGACCAAGTAGCAATCATTCTATACGTTCTCCTCGTCTTCCCTGCCGCGATATACAGGGAAATGCAACGTTGACGTGTACAAAATAAGAATCCATCCTATTCATAGCGGCGCACAACACACACACACACACTTGTTAAACGCACATTTCTCACAGCTTGTGAACGTTGTCGGGCTCATTACCATGAGAAGCTATTCCCGGCCGTACCCTGTGCATCTACGTTTACGTCCCAAAGACATGCTGGAGATGATCGCAGTCATTTGAGGGTTCGGCCATTTTGCTGGACCAAGATCACCCGGGGGCGGACAGTGGAACAAAACCTGACACAGGGCCTGCAGAAAAAGGCTAATAACCAGGACAGCAATGGAGAGACTGTTGCCGCCCAAAATGTCAAAGGCTTAATGGGCAACAAGTAATTTGGGCTGAGAGCTGATGGTTGTGAACTGTGGTTTGCTTCTCTGCGGTTGTGCTCGGGGCCAATTATTGATATACAGTACTTAGTGATGAACTTGATGGATGGATCGGTGGGTGGGTGGGTAGATAGATAGATAGATAGATAGATACTTTATTGATCCCCGTACACGAAATGCAAGTGTTCATTAGCAGCAACAACAAATCCATTCAAACAAACAAAACAAATAAATAGACAATTCTAAAAGTAGCTAACAATTGTATTAAAATGCAACAGTACTTTAGGTCACAGCAGCAGAGGTAGAGCAGCCGCTGGGTTTATACAATATTTATTCATCCATTATTTATTATGAAATAGTTTGCATCATACTGTGCCATTACAAATGATGTCAAGACTATCACTGTGTTCCTTTCATGTTTTAGACTAGCATTGCTTAAGTAGGAAAAATATACAGTGCAAAAACGACATGTGATTGTAAAGAATGTTATTTAATTAGAAACGTTGCCAAAACTAATTTCGGGTCAAAAACTTTTGCTCTAAAATGTCTGAGTGTGAAGTCACAGTGATAGACAGTGACATACAATTACCAGACTAAGACAGGAGCTTGTAGACAAAAGGGGCGGAGCTACATTGTGCCAAAAAGTTCCTGATGTTAGCTTGAATGGATCTAAAAACAACTCCGGGTCTGTTTTGATGAGGAGAAAACTGGAGTTGAATATTTAAAAAGTTTCCCGTTCTCTCTGTCAAACTTTTCCAGGTTCAGCAGCTCTAAACACATTTTTATAGCTGCTTTTTTCTTCTTCTTCTTCTTTCAAACCTTAAGTTAATAGTTTATCGACGCCTCATGAAGCACTTGGATCATAAATGTTTAGCGTCTTGACTAATTCATCGCTCCCTTTGAATGGCAGTCCGCATTCGAAACCATGGAGAGCGAGCAATGAAGGTAATATGGAAATGCAATACCCCGGTGTCTGGCAACGACTTCCGCTTGTATCACCGGCCAATCACGATGCGATTCCAGTAAACACACAACGATAAATATGTAAGCGACTGAGACGGACAGGGTTAGGGGCTAAAATCATGAAAATATAAAAGGGAAAATGATACGGATGCACACACAATTAGCAGTGGGTATTGAGTCAATGGGTGTGTGTTAGAGGGGCAGGAGTGAGTGGCATTCAGGAGCTTGCCTGGTGGTCTTCTGATAGCTACGGGCGGCCATTACTTATTCATCTGCTCCTATGAATACAGTCATCGGAGTCTCGCCTTTGCACCGCAGCAGAATACAAATGAAGAGTGTGAGGTGGGCTGCGGAGCACTGTGGGCTGCAGGAGCACTGTGGGCTGCGGAGCACTGTGGGCTGCGGAGCAGCACTGTGGGCTGCAGGAGCACTGTGGGCTGCGGAGCACTGTGGGCTGCAGGAGCACTGTGGGCACACTGATAAGAGCTGGACACTCGTAACGGAGTTTGGCGAGACGGACGAGCAGAGATTTCACTGTTGTTTAGGTCGTATGGCAGTAGTAGAGTGGAGGAGAGGAGGTGGTGTAGAGCAGTGGTTCCCAAAGTGGGGGTCCCGACCCCCCGGGGGGTCGCGGGAACCCCTGGGGGGGTCGCAAGATGATTTCTACACAACAAACAAAAGATATATTTTTTTTGAGCAAATATAAAACCCTTAAATATTTATTTAGCATTTGATTTGATTCAAAAGGACTACTTGTTAAATTGTGTTTGGAGACTATAATATATTTTAATAACGTTAATAATTTTGTCCCAGTCATTGCAGCGTCAATCAAAATCATCACGTAACACAGCTCACATCATGCGCAGCGACAAAGCGTGTCCTGCTGTTGTTTGCTAAAACTAAAGGTGTTTGGAGGCTACAAATAAATAATACCTGCTTTAAAATGAAACGTGGTTAATATCCACAACAGAAAAACCCGGAGGGGGAGAAAAGTCACTTGTATCAGGGGTCAGGCTGGTGGTGCGAAGAGAGGGAGAGAGGGCAGCGGAGGAAGAGAGGGCAGCGGTAGAACAGCGCGTTAAAGAGGCCCGGCTTTTCGGAGTCAAAGGTAAAGAGGTCCGCACATTAAAAGCGGGTGGCCGGTTTATGCCTTTACTGACAGTAACTTTGGAAAGAGAAGCCGCGGGGATGAACCGCATAAAGTAACAGCAGAAAGCGGCCGCCCGCTTTTAATGTGCGGACTTCTTTACCGCTGACTCCGGAAAGCCGGCCCACTTTACCGCGATAGGAGAACAGTGAGGGCGAGCCGCAAGAAATGCGCTCCACTTCTGCTGAGGATGGAGCCCACCAAGCCCACCAACCAACTCATGTAGTGACTGTGTCACAGGGTTAGCAGGGCATTTATGATGGGGGTCGCGGGCTAAAAACTTTGGGAACCCCTGGTGTAGAGGAGAGGAGGTGGTGAAGGGGAGAGGAGGTGGTGAAGAGGAGAGGAGGTGGGGTAGAGGAGAGGAGGTGGTGTAGAGGAGAGGAGGTGATGTGCAGTAGGTGGTGTAGAGGAGGTGATGTAGAGGAGGTGATGTAGAGGAGGTGGTGTAAAGGAGAGGAGGTGATATAGAGGAGAGGAGGTGGTGTAGAGGAGAGGAGGTGATGTAGAGTAGAGGTGGTGTAGAAGTGAGGAGGTGATGTAGAGTAGGTGGTGTAGAGGTGAGGAGGTGATGTAGAGGAGAGGAGGTGATGTAGAGGAGAGGAAGTGATGTAGAGGAGAGGAGGTGATGTAGAGTAAAGGTGGTGGTGTAGAGGAGAGGAGGTGATGTGCAGTAGGTGGTGTAGAGGTGAGGAGGTGATGTAGAGGAGAGGAGGTGATGTAGAGGAGAGGAGGTGGTGTAGAGGAGAAAGAGCAGGAGGTGGTGTAGAGTAAAGGTGGTGGTGTAGAGGAGAGGAGGTGGTGTAGAGGAGAGGAGGTGGTGTAGAGGAGAGGAGGTGATGTAGAGGAGAGGAGGTGATGTAGAGCAGAGGTGATGTAGAGGAGAGGAGGTGATGTAGATGTAGAGGAGAGGAGGTGGTGTAGAGTAAAGGTGGTGGTGGTGTAGAGGAGAGGAGGTGGTGAAGAGGAGAGGAGGTGGTGTAGAGGAGAGGAGGTGGTGTAGAGGAGAGGAGGTGGTGTAAAGGAGAGGAGGTGATGTAGAGCAGAGGTGATGTAGAGGAGAGGAGGTGGTGAAGAGGAGAGGAGGTGGTGTAGAGGAGAGGAGGTGGTGTAAAGGAGAGGAGGTGATGTAGAGCAGAGGTGATGTAGAGGAGAGGAGGTGATGTAGAGGAGAGGAGGTGGTGAAGAGGAGAGGAGGTGGTGTAGAGGAGAGGAGGTGGTGTAAAGGAGAGGAGGTGATGTAGATGTAGAGGAGAGGAGGTGGTGTAGAGTAAAGGTGGTGGTGGTGTAGAGGAGAGGAGGTGGTGTAGAGGAGAAAGAGCAGGAGGTGATGTAGAGGAGGTGGTGTAGGAGGTGGTGTAGAGGAGGTGATGTAGAGGAGAGGAGGTGGTGTAGAGGAGAGGAGGTGGTGTAGAGGAGGTGATGTAGAGGAGAGAGTAGAGTATTTTTATGTATTATCATGTTTTTTCTCCCAAACGAACAGGCCCAGGACAGATACACAACGTCTGAATCTGAAAGTGAAAACCCTTCATTCTAACATCTTGTGTGTGTTCATAAAGACATAAACATTGTGTGTGTTCATAAAGACACAAACATTGTGTGTATTCATAAAGACACAAACATTGTGTGTGTTCATAAAGACACAGACATCTCGTGTGTGTTCATAAAGACACAGACATCTCGTGTGTGTTCATAAAGACACAAACATCTCGTGTGTGTTCATAAAGACACAAACATCTCGTGTGTGTTCATAAAGACACAAACATTGTGTGTATTCATAAAGACACAAACATTGTGTGTGTTCATAAAGACACAGACATCTCGTGTGTGTTCATAAAGACACAAACATTGTGTGTGTTCATAAAGACACAAACATTGTGTGTGTTCATAAAGACACAAACATTGTGTGTGTTCATAAAGACACAAACATTGTGTGTGTTCATAAAGACACAAACATTGTGTGTGTTCATAAAGACACAAACATTGTGTGTGTTCATAAAGACACAAACATTGTGTGTGTTCATAAAGACACAAACATTGTGTGTGTTCATAAAGACACAAACATCTTGCTACGCTGTGCTTCTGTGGAAAGAGCTGAAGTTCGTTTTGGAAAACCTTTTTATAATCGTTACCCCTGTTTGTCTTCCTCTGAGACTGATTATTATTGCTTTTTATATATTCTATTCATATTTTACATTTTATATTGTTGTTTTATATATTATTATTATTATTATTATTATGTATCACGATAGTTTCCTTTTAGTCTCACATTTTACTGTTTTACTTTTTAATCTTATTGTTTTCAGTTTGACCAGCGTTTCCTCTGGAGGGGCCCTCTGCACTGGGAGCTGAGGTCTGCTGTGGCTGTGGTGGTCCGGACCTGGACCTGGACCTGGATCAGGATCTGGGGCCTCGGCTTCATGTCTCCTCTGGGTCCTGTGTCGTCCCCTGTGGCTGCGAGCGGCTCTCTGCCCCTGGTGCAGACGGCTCCTTGGATGGCGCTTCTTTTGCTGGTTACATCTGCACCCTGCCAAGTCTCTCATCATGATAGTGTGTGTGTACGTGCTTGTGTGTGTGTGTCTGTGTGTGCTTGTGTGTGTGCATTCTTAGTTAAACATGTGGTTAGGGGTCATGTTCATGCAGTATTGTAAAGCAGTTGCATCTTCTGTAGGTAATACATGACAACAGCAACAACATGACTTCACAGATGCAGAGACAGATACTTTGCACGCGCACGGTGTGAAAAGGCAATTATATTATTCCAATCCCCACTCTCCCATTCAACACAAGACAAAACAACACAATACCATTCAGCAAGACACACAACAGTATAATGACGCAGAGTATTTACAGTGCTACAACACCATCGGCTCCCACTGTCTGCTGTCGCTGTGTCCTTAGGCAAGACACTTAACCTCTTAAAACACGACACACAAACACACACAATTCACTCCTCCTACATTTGACCCATCCTTCACACGCCTCACCCAGACACACAGAGAGTCATACACACAAACACAAACGACACACACACCATATTAGACAGGAGATCTTAATGTGTGACAAAAACATCCATGAAGAGAATTTGTAGAGAGCTGGAGGTTGGTGCATCGGAAAAGATTTTAACAATATAAAAACGTCAGCAGGTCTGGTGCTCTTCAAAGACGGGGCCATAGAACAGTAAAAATAGATCATAGGAAAATTAAATACAGTGCAGTCAAAAAAAATGTCATTCCCATTTAAAATCCATTTTACATTTTTGTTTATTTTAAGCTAATGAGTGCCCTAGAACATTTTTGCCAAGGGGTTGAAAGTCTGTGACCGAGCAACAGCCCCAAATCATCACCGCTCCAGAGCAGATGTGCATGGAGGAATGGGTCAAAATACCAGCAACAGAGTGGTTTCCTGTAAAGTCCTTGTGAAAAATGAACTTCTGCCATTATCAACAAGGACTAGTTTTGGATTGACTAAATACTTATTATCAATCTTTAAAAATCTGAAAATAATGTGTTTTCCATGAAATAAATTGTTCGATAGTTGTTCAATGCAGTTGCTTTAAAGCCACTATGTGTAATTTTTACAGTTGCTCCAAATGAAAAACATGTTTACGAATGTGACCTTTCTAAGAATATTTAAGTAAATATGTAATGTTTATTTATATAGCACATTTTACAGACCAAGGCACAGACCCAAAGCACTTTCAGACCTACTGTGCATGTTTTTAGTGGTAGGGGAAACCGGAGCACCCGGAGGAAACCTACGCAGACACAGGGAGAACATGCAAACTCCACTCAGAAAGGCCCTGTTCCGACCGGGATTTACCTCCACCATGTTTTTGAATTGTTGTCATAAACGCTAAATGGGAGTAAAAACTACACACAGTACCTTTAATTTTTCTAAATCTTGCTTCTTGGAGCGTGTTTATTTCCTCCATAACGATCTACGTATAAAACTATCCCCTGCTAATATCAACACGTTTTTTAATCACAGCAAAGTTAAGACGAGGTGAAAGCAGCGTGTCTTTCGGCTTGTTTCTTACCCCATGCTGTGGAATTCTGCTCTAGCTTCATTGACCAAAACAAACAAGCTAAAATACTGAGGTGCACCGAGCTCTTCTGCAGTCGCTCCTCGCCGCGGTGGCTGTCGGCGATGCAGAGCTCGTGCTGAACACCATTTGAATCACTGTCGCGGCGGACGGGCTTTCCCTCTTCGTTAGACTTTCAGCTCCACACGCTCCTTCACATTAGCGTACGGAGGCTTGTTACTGACAGACTAACAAGGAGCCGGCGCTAACGTGGCTAACTGTGATCAAACGCTCGAATGCCCCGCTGCCTCCAAACGTCTTCACCAAACCTGGCTCTGCGAAAAGAAATTGAATACATGATTGGATTGGAGTCGTTATGAATAGTTTTGATGTATACGTCCAGCATAATTAGCTGGCAGAGATGGGTTTTGGAAGGCTGGAATTACATGTGTAAAAGTGTAAGGGTAAACTACTTATAAATAAACAACCATTGATGTAAATGGACACATGCTGTGGATGGATTGGAAACGATTCTTTACACTTGACCCATTCCTAAATGTCCAATGACCCATCGCACACACAAGCATGGAGAGGACCCTGAATCTGGGTACAGCCCTAAATCCATACAGCAGCTGTCACGGAGGAATTTAAGACGTAATTGATTCCTCAACAACAGAGAAACTGACAGTTCTACCCAGTGGGGACGGGTCCTGGCTCAAAAAAGTCCAAAATGACCTGCGCTGACATGCTGCAATACCACCCCGGGCCAGTGGGGGTGGACGCAGAAAAATAATTAGCCATTGCTAATATATAGCATGTTCTTACCTCTCAAAAACGGGTATACAGGATGGTCCAAAAGGGGCTCTTGGCCCAAAAGTGGTTCTTGGTCCAAAAGTGGCTCTTTGTCCAAAGCTCCATTCCAGATGCTGAGGAAGGAATATTGTTCTGGACCAGTCTAGTTTAGCCGCTGTGGACTTTTGAATGCACTTGAAAGTCTCAACAGCAGAGAAAGGCCATCAATATTTACAGTCAATGGTTCAAACAAAGGAAATGCAATAATAACAAACACATAGAGGCCTTGGTCCACTGTCCACACATGATTGTAAATGTCCCAGTGGGAAAAAGTGAGAAACCTGGAGAAGGCCGAGACTGAGAAAGGGATCTGCTCAAACTATTCTTCTTCTTCTTATTATTATGTTCAAGATATAGATTGGATGCTTGTTCTTTGATGCTGGAGTTAGAGCTTTTGTTTAATTTGAATTTGAGTATAGTTATTGTTCATTTATCTTGTGCTGTGTGCTCCTCATTCCTACTGTTCTGTAACACAGAAATTTCCCCACTGTGGGACCAATAAAGGGTCTCTCAATCCTAATCTTAAACCAGTCGTAACAACTCTCACATAACTTCAAATTTACAATTGTGGAGACATGTTCCTTAACTTTCTGAGTCACAAAGCACTTCTCTAAATACACACAGAGATGGGAGTGAGGTCGCCTACAGGGGGCGCTGCCAGACCTACTGTACATGTTTTAGGGAGTGGTAGGGAAAACCAAAGCACTCAGAGGAAACCTACGCAGACACAGGGAGAACATGCAAACTCCGCTCAGAAAGGCCCTGGTCCGACTAAGATTCAAACTCAGGACTTTCTTGTTGAGCAGCGAGAATGCTAACCACTCAGCCGCTGTGCCGCCCTTGTTTTGTGTCATGTATTTATGTGTTTTTCAGATTTTATATTCATTTGCCTCAACAGCATCAAGACAGTTTGGAATTCCATGTGAAACAGACCAAAGGTGGAGCTCAGAAACAGGAATCAATAACATCTGAGAAATCCAGCGAAAGACTGAGGTAATCCAGATCAAATATTCAGGAAAATTCTTGTTTATCTGGAGTTTTGCTGAACATCCCCTTTACTTCACATTCAAAAACACAAAATGCCAATGCGCAAGTTCTCAAGATCGCGTAAAAGGGCCGGCGTTCAGTTTCGCTGCATCGAAGCAAGTCTCATCTGTTTTGAACTCTATCAAAGAGAAAGTGCAAGAAGGTATTGAGTCCAAAGCGGCGAACTGTACGCTCTCCATGAACCCTCTCAAGTCAAGGATCCAGCAGCAGCACTTCACAGACTTATGTTTTTCAAAGAGCCATAACAGTTCCACGGCCCGGCTGCACAACTATATAATGTTAATATTGTCTTTAATTATGGAGGAAAGGCAGGGCAGGAGCGGGGAGGGGTGTTGAAACTAAGCCAAGGCTGATTCCGAGAAACCAGAGAGAGACCACCTGGCCAAGATCAAAACCAGAATTAGTCCAAGTATGCCATTATTATGATCAAATGAACGGGTTATGAGCGTGTGAATGGAGGAGTGTTTGAAGGAATGGATCGGTTTCATCTTGGACTGATACAAAGTAAAGGCAGCGTCACACTTTTTTCTTTCTGATT